CAGAAAACAAATGAAATATTTGGGGGCATCGGTTCTACAGCAATATCTATCATTCACACTTGTCCATTTCAGTTCCCCTATGTTCTGCTATTGGGTATACAATACACAGATATACTTTTTGTTGAGCATTTATTTCATGTCATTTGTCCAATTGTCCATGTTTTATTATACAAGGCAATACAGTATATCACAACCATGCGCTATGGGGAAAGTCTTTATGAAGTACAGAAGCATTTCAAAAAGATGGAAATGGTGAGGTACATTCATTAACCATTTGCAGTTTTGAAGTGAGCCTTTGATCCAGAGCAGTTTTAAACTATCAAGGAGGAGGGGGGGAATCTCATTCTTACAAATGAATGCTATATAAAGCAATGAGTTTGCAGGATTAAATGGCCAAATAGCAGTTATCCGTTCCCTTGGCAATGATGATTTTGAACAGCTATGTTTACCAGGTTACCATAGCAAAATAAGAATATTATAAGCTTGCCCTGGAGATCCTACTTTGTTTCATTAGTCTAAATGAGGTGCTGACATTCATAAACATAGCAAACATAAGTAGACCAGACTTCCTAGAGCAAAACCCATGACAAGTTAATTCACATAAATGTAAATGTTGTAATCTTTGCCAAATGTCCTGGAAAATAATAAAGTAACACAACCCTCCCCCCATAAGATTGGAGGTTAATATTTGTAAATTCCTTCTAATGAAGCAGCTTTCAGGAATTACAAATAGCTCATATTCTCTGTTTGTTCAAAAGGATGTCCAGATCAAACCAAGTTCATGGATGAAAAAAAACAAGGAATTTAACTTTCTAGCTCTCAGTGGGAAAATGAAGTAAATTTTCTCTTCTATCCCTCTCTTTCATTCCAAGAAGAATCTCTAAACTTCATGAAAGAAAAGCCATGCATTCAATTTCAAGAAACTTGAAGTTCTCATTTAGCAACCACAATTGGAACTGGCAAGTCAGTCACTAAGTGAAGCAGTTCCTAAGTGAAAGTTCGACTGTGCTTATAATCTTACTTTATAGATGTACAAAGGTCATAAATGCAAAAATTGGTCGCATAGTTATTTTTTTTTCATCCCTATTGTAACTGAGAACAGTCATGAAATCAGATAGTCACTAAACAAGGACAATCTGTATCTGGTTTTTTTTATAACTCTTTGTTTCCATGCCAGTTTTACCTCAAGTCACTGATTTAGGCAGACCTTCCCAAACTTTTTCTTTAATCTAAAACTGTTTATCAGAAAGTCTTTTTAACCCAAGGTAAAGCACTTTAAATTTAAATATACCTCTTGTGATTGGATAATGGTTTGTGTCTTGCTACCCAACAAAAAAAAAAAAAAAACACTTTTACCAATTTGGAGTAATTTACCCAGGTTTGGGAAGCACTGAATTAGGATAGTATTAATATTCAAATCTTGTTGCTGATAGCTTGGAATTTTGCAGCTGAACTGCAGCCAATCCATGTTCAAGTCCCAATGAAGGGGGAAAGGGGCAAACATGGAAGTTACTACCTACCCATCTTCCTAACCCTTGTTCAAAGGGGGAGGATGCTTCAACTGTTCTCATTGTTCCTACCAGGAAAGGCTCCTGAAACCTAAGCATCCAGGACTCCACTATAAAACTACACAGTTTCAACAACCTAGGCAGGCTGAAGTGAACATAGAGGTTTTCAAAGAGATAAAAACTGCACATATCCTCAGTTCTGTGCTACTACCCAGCAGCAGCATACTTTGAGAGAAAGCAGGGGCAGGAAACAACTTTTGCAATCACTACCAATTCCAAAGGTTATGATGGTAAAAACACCCATTCATGAAATCAAGGAAAAGCCAAGTTATGATTCCAATAGGAACAATGGGTGAGTTAAGCCTTTCCATATTATAATATACCAAATTTTGCCCCTCAACACCATCATTCTCAAAATATGAAATGAATTAAAATTGTGAGGGTACTCAACTTCAGGAAAATTACTGCTTTTGTGCTTTTGATTTAGAGAAACCGATTGGCCCTTTTCTATCAAATATGTTAAGATAAGTTAGCATAACTATTACACTTATCATTTTTGTGAGATATAATAACTGAAATATAAACTCATATTTTAACATTCTAATTAAGCTACACAGAATGGTACATCACATAATAATACGACTGCAATATACAAAATAAAAATGTGTGTACAAAAATAAAATGATAATAGAGTATAACAATATAACTGTAATGAAACATTATATAACTCATGAACATATAACAATCTCCTGATACTCAATTCCAGCTGTACAGATATGGATATGATTATTGAATAATGATCATACCTATATGCACCCCAATCAAAGAATACAAAAAAAAACAAAAAACCACCAAACCCTATTATATTTTCATATCACAAGTAATCCTCAATTTATAACCCTTCCTTAGGAAATGTTTCAAATTACACCAGAACTCCCTTGGGCTTCTTACAATTTGAAATTTGAGATTTGAAAGTTCCACAGCCAGCTGCCCTGCCTTCCAGTGGTCACATAATTTCATTTGGGGCACTCTGCAACCAGCCTGCATTTACAGCTATTTATATTGCCACATGGTAACATGACCACGATTTACTATTTGTTTCTGACAAAAAAGGACCATTGCAGACAATGCATTTGCTTACAGACCAATGTTTACTTAACAGTTGTGTTCACTTAACAACCGCAGTGATTCACTTAATTGACACCAGAAAAATAGTCATGAAATCAGGCACAGTAACATGATGACCAACAATCAATTATGATAGTAAGTCAAGAACTATCTTTATATGTTTTCAGCTCACCCACCCCACAGGATTATTGGGAAAAATAGGAGGCACGAATGTTAAATATATTTGCTATTTGTAAAATATATATTTTACAAAAAGGCAGAGTAAAAATAACATCAAGAACAACAGTTTTGAACTTCTTCTTATAGTTAAACAAAATATAAATATTTTGAATATAATTTAGAAAAGTAGCTAGTACAATAAAACAATTCATCTTACTCCTCTTGTTTTTAATGTTTCTCCTGGATATCATTTTGATTTACTGTCATGTAAAAGCTACCATCAGTTAAAAGCCTATACTGTCATTTTATTCTTATAACATGTATGTATCACTTGTATTGTACAAGAATGTCAAAAGAAAATATTTATCTAGTACAAAATTAATACGATGTCCAGGTTTCTAGTAATTCATATTCTTATTTTATTCTGCAAGAATATATTAAATATAAGGAATTAAACATATTGACAGAAGTTTAAAATAACTGCAGTGAAGAGAGAAAGCTTGTAACTAACCCAAAATTTATAGTTATGAGGATTGGAAAGTTTTTAGCATACTATCAAGAGAGAAGCTTAGTGACTAAGTAGAACTGAACAGTATTAAATCATAACAATTAAAATTTGTATCAGATTATACATTTATGTGGCAATATATTAAATGTTCTAAAACTACACTTACCTTTGTCAAACATACTTTACTGCTACATTGCAGTATAAACCTGACAGTGAACACAAGCTGATTTCTGTTCATCAGCAGTAGTAATACAAATGAGGGTCTTTTTCTACATGAACCTCAGCAAATTCTAAGAAGTTTCTAAATTGTCCTAGAGAACATTTATTGATCTTTCTGATTTTTCTTGTTCCATTAGTTGCATTGTTATTTTTATTTATTTATATTTATTTCATGCTAGTATTGTCTAGTTTGTGACAGATATGGGATGGATGGATGGATGGATGGGGAGAGAAAGAAAGAGAGAGGGGGGAAGGGAGGGAGAGATAGATGATGCAGAAGATTTGGAATTTCTTTCATGCCAAGGGATAAGAAATTGCTTCTTCTATCATGAAAGAAGTGATAAAAAGAAGAAAATTGTGCTTTTCTATTCAGAGGATGAATATCTTAGATCAAGGCTGTCAAACTGCTGGCCCACAGGCTAGATGCGTCATGCGCTGGCCACGCCCATTCCTGGGTTTAGCAAAGGGAGGGAAAGTCCCAATACGTCACGTAACGCAGCCATGACAACATGAGTTTGAGACCCCTGCCTTAGATAAATATCTCTGATTAGTGAATACAGGAAGGCAAACTGTAGAAAATTGTAGATTTGTAATAATAAAGACATGATACAAACAAACCAACAAAATATACAGTTCAAATACTAGTTGAATCTTCTCCCTGGACTGTAATTCAACAGGTACTAGAAATTTCTAAATGACTGTCATTAGCACTTTAGTACACCCTGGCAAATAATTTGTAATAAATTATTTATATCTCAAAAAAGATTTGGCCTGCTTCATACTCCTAACCCTAAATACAGCATTGCATTAGAAAAAACATCTGACATTGTCCATGATTTTATACCAAGACCATTCTTGGTTTCATCTCAAATTCTTTGACAGCAATGTTCCAAAGTTTCATACAGGAGTCTTTTCCAGTCCTACCCAGAGGTTATTGGAATTGGAGCTGTAATATTTTGCATATAAAGCATGTGCTTATCATACATGCATGCACACATATATACATTTCTTTTTCTATGTCACCAGGAGAGTCAACAACTGGTATAGGAAAGGAATAGGCAGACTAATATATGTCATGAATTACCTGTCCATTAAAGGATATATTTAACAAATGTACTTCAACAGCATTCCTCTAAAAATCTGAATATTTACTAACATGACAGTTAAGAGGTGTTAATGAATGATTCATCCTTGATATTTGTATAGGCACCACTAATTTAGTGCTACAGCTCTTCATACAAACCATTACAAACAGTGTGATTATATTGCCCATGCAAGAACAGGTGGAAGAGCTTGAGAAAATAATTTTACTTTGACTATGTAAATACATTTATGCAAATTGTGTCATCTACGTATTCCTTTTGCTAAGAAAAAACAAATTATTTCCATTCAGCCATCCCTCATTCTGAACATCAACTCAAAATAGTTATCTTGAATGGAAAAAAACAAAATTATATGGTAATATAAATAAATCTTACCACTCCAATTGAAAAGTAATTATTAATGATGCTGTAAGGCACAGGATCTCCTTTTTCATCTTTATCATTAGGTATGACTTCAAATTTCCACCTGTCCAGCAAGATTTCGGTACCGTTCTCAATATCTTTTAAAATCTGGAGAAGATTCTCCCCTTCATATCCTTTTGAAAAAGAAATAAAGCACAGTGATTTGAAATGGCAGATTTAGGAACCTGATCACCTTCTCACCATTAATACATGAAAGATGCATTTAACCTAAGCCAGGCCATTAACACCTATCTGTACCCATGGGTTCTGCTTAATGACTTGCCACCATTTCAGCAGTGAGGGCACAGACACTGGAACTAAAAGTATGGATTTAGCATCTTCTCCCTAATTAGATAGCTGAGTTGGGAATCAGACATTGTACTGATTCCCTACCACAACTAGCCCACCACAACTAGCAAATAGCCCACCACAAATTTTATTAATAATCATTTGGCTCCCTATTTATTGCTGAATAATTGCAAAATAATTGTCTGCTGTCTTAATTGTCCAATGCATAGTAGCAGTAAGTGGGTGAAGAAGTGGTAGCAGTGCTGAAGCAAGTGATATCAAAGCAAAGTTCATTATGTTAAGGAATACTCAACTATTATTTTAAGATAAGGTTTCAGAGGGGGAAAAAAACTTTAGGGACTTTGATTCAATGGATTTCTGTATATCAATAACATGCCTTGGATTACTTAGTCATTGCTCATAAAGTCCTACCTATCAGAACATTCATACTCAATATAAAAAGAAACGCCCAATCAATGGAATATTATAGCTGGATTAACATAATGATACTATTTCATTATATTCTTTTAAAAATATATTTATGCATCAATAAATATTTTCATAAATCTAAACTATTTGAATGTAGTCCAATGTACAACTTTTCAGTCAGCTTTTCATCACTGGAATGTGTTGTGTTGGCACATGATACTCCTTCCAGTTTGCAAACTGACCAATATTTATGTGTCTGTGGACTTTATCAGTATATGATTTTTGAACATGCCAGATAGCCAGCTTTCCCAGTCTTTGGGGACAGTCCCAGTCTTTGGGAACAATCTTGTTATTATATTCATATAGGATAGAGCCATGATGGCGAACCTATGACATGCGTGCCGGAAGTGGCATGCAGAGCCATCTCTCTGAGCACGCAAGCCATCACCCGTTGCTCTTCCAAGTTCCAGCACGCCTGCCATCTGGTCTTCACACATGAAGGAGTGCCAGAAACTGGAAAAGCAGCCGCCCGGTGCACATGCACTCACTGGGAAGATGATCTTCCAGTTTCCGGCACACGCATGCACACTGGGCAGCTGGTTTTCATGCGTGCCAGAAACTGGAAGACCAGGTGCCCAGTGCGCATGCTTGTGCCAGAAACCGGAAGATCATTTTCTCTTTCGGTTTCCAGTGCACGGCCCCGTTTCAGCACTCAGTGCCAAAAAGGTTTGCCAACACTGGGATACAGAAGATCTATATATCTATATCTATATCATCTATATCTATATCTATATCATCTATATCTATATCTATATCTATATCTATATCTAAAATGTATATTATTTCTGTTTATCCTAAGTTATTAATGTCTTTATTATTTTATTTCTGTTATACAAGATACAGATAGCTTTATTTCTGCAATGTTATATATTTATTTTCTAAGTGCTCTTGATGTTACAATACCAGCCACTCCTACCAGTCAGCTAGTATTCAAGATTTGCTAGTTCTGTGCTCCTAATCTTTCATGCCTTTTGATAGATCAGCTGGCACCTTTTGCTTATGCCTCTTACAATGTCTTTCTTCTATTCCTTTTGTTAATGGAAGCAGTTATCTTTTGGATGTGGAAATGCAGGAAGCCTACATACAGTCTTCTAAAAGAAAGTCTTTCTTTCTCACAATAATTTTAATGGTATGTATGTGAGTGAGTGTGTTTGTTTATGTATATTGAAATGAGTACTTCTGTCTATATAATAAGATACATAGATACTTGTGTGAAAGATGAGCAAACCGAAGAAGTGAAGAAGAAACGTAAAGGTTTATTGCTTTTAAAAAACTCAAATCTTCTATATTAATCTGTCTAACAGTTTATCTATATATTCTATCTCTATATCTATATAGTCTTTCTAACAGCTTATTTAATATCATAATAAGAATCTGGAGAGACAAAGTTTCTATCAATGACACTTTCTATATAATGTGAGAGAGACTGGCTTTGGTCTATGTGTACATATATAAATATAATTAATTCTGCATACCCAAGGGGATTATGAGAGGGAGGTGTGTGTGTGTGTGTGTGTGTGTGTGTGTGTATACATGCATATTCCCCCCTCACAAAGAGAGGGGAAAATATGTATGTACATACACATACAGAGAGAGATACTTACATATATAAATGCAGCTGCTATGCTTATTTCCATTCCCTAGAGAAACCACTGTCAGAATCAGCCCAAGAACAACATAGTCATAGAACTCTCCATCCAAAGTTAATTTCTGTATTGCTTACAGATAAGAAAGAGAATCTTGTTAGACAAAACCTATATTACTCTCACCCTGATGGATATATCCTGAGAGATTCTAGGAAGTGGCTATCCTAACTTTCTTCACTGATTTCTGATCCAGTTCTGGGCTATGTTGTCTTTTGTCTTGTTCCTTTTCCTTATAATGTGCTCCCACCTTCTGGGGAAACTGCCACTTCAGTGTAATCCATCAAACCACTTCCCCTTTCATAGACATAATCCATCATAACTACATCTGAAGCTAAATAAGCTTTTAAAATAACTTTTTATTTTGCCATAGAAAACTATGTTCCTAAAAAATAAATAAAAAGACCCTGGAGAAGAGCAGCTGGATCTTCTCCCTACACATTCTACTGGCCCCTATTCTGTACACACAATCTATTTGCAGGAAACTATTTGTGTGTTCAGCAACAATTTTTTTGTAGCACTCTTTGTATTTGTATTTATAGCACTTTTGATGGAAATAACAGAAAAAGGAAGATAAGGAAGAAGCAGGACATTCCGTTTGAATTTTTTCCAATGCTAAATAACAATTACTTCTTCAGCAATGAGAGAGAAATATTCTAAGTCCTCACCAAGGAAGCATTTTGTTTTATAGAGATTTTTATTTCAACTATAATAACAATCCTTTACCATTAAGCAGGCTTCCAGTTACATGATGCCACGAAAACATAGAGCAGCCATCACACCATTATTGGGCATATCCTGACAACGTCTATTGTGTTAGCAATTTTTTTTATTGTATTTAATAATATAATTTCAATTCTATGTATGTACACAATGGTGTATGGGTTGAACGGCGGAGGGGAAAAAACAGACTTAGTACATTGTTTCTTATTATAAGATGCTAAATTAGAATTGCTAAGCAACATACTCAGCAGCAATGGAGTAAATTCAGTGTATGCTAAAGGTTATTTGTTTAATAATTTATAATCCATGCAAAAAGTCTGTGTCACTGAGAAGGGAAAATTACTTACCAGCATAAAAATTTGTTGTTATTCCTTCTGCTCTCCACTCCTATGAAAAGTTTCAGAGAGAAAAAAATCAGTCTTATGGCATCAGCTACCATAGGGAAGGAGGCAAAGAATGGTGAAAGAATTTTTCTAGGATTAACAGTGGGCTTGCAAAGTGATGGAGCCCTAATCAGAATGGATAGTCCATAAAAAAAGAAGTTATGGGATTTCAGTAATAGCATCAGAGAACATGGGTTCTGAAAAAAATTGAATTATCATCCTTTATTATGTGACTCCACTTTCTTTTACTCTGCAGAAGATTCCAGACAATCAGGAAATGCAGAAAGAAGTTCTAGAGAAGATCTTAAGGAATACAATGAAGAATGTTGGTTTCTGTTGTTCGTATACCCTAGTGGTAAAACAGTGTGTACCACAGATAAATATAATTGACTCTAGTATAAAATGTTAAATCACATCCATATTAAAGAAGTACTTTTGTATGAATCAGATTTTTGTCATCTCTGGATAAAAAAATGTCAAAGTTCTCCTAGAGAAATCTATCCTTCTATTGAACACGTGGAGGTGAAATATTTGCAACTTAATTACAAGTGATACTTTTCAGTTATAATGAGTAAATCAGAAGATAGAACATTATTAATTATTAAATCAAATATATTTTATAGATGTCCAGATAAAATGAGTCACACTTTATATAAGAATGGCAGGATATGTTCTTAAAACCTTTGGAAACGTTAGGATTTTTCATTTGAATTATATAGAGTACAATCATTAGATCAACTATTTTAGGCAAATGTGTGCATTGAAATTCAAACATATCCCTGAACTGAGTAGTTACAAAAATAACTACAAAAATTCACATGTGAATTTTTGTTGCTAGGAGGAGACTCAAAGATTTAATATGCCACTGATCTATGATACAGAAAGGAGAAAGCTAACTGCAAATTAAAATTAATTTAAGTAAATAATACAAATTTGTTTAATGTTTTATTAGTTTACTAAGATTTGGGCAGTCAACAGAAACTAATTTCAAAAAGAAAAACATTCAAGAAAATGCCTTCAAATTAAGCATTGTAAGAAATGAAACATTACAGATTTCGCACAAAATTGAGCTCAGCCAGAATTTAGTGCTGCCCCCTAAATGAACTCCACTTAGTACAACAATAATGTCATCATTCTAATAATTATGCTCTATTAACAAGCTTCTACATATAGCATTTACAAAAATAATACCTCTTCTAAATATCCTTTATTTACAGGAAAACAATTCATAAGATATGAGATAGATTTGTGAAAATAAAAAAGATAAAAAAGTGTGATTTTACTTTATTTTCAAAAATTAAGAAAAATATATTCAAGACATATTTTCCCAAATTTCCAGTCATAAGTTATTAAGATTGATTAATTAAGAGTTAGTAAAAATAACATTATTTTTCTTGATTTTGCTTTTTTATTATTGGGAGTTTAGAAAATAAAGGTTAACTTTAAGAAAACTAAATAATTTTATTAATTGGAACAAAAACTTAGATGTGATAAGTTAGAATTAGAAAGACAGCTGAAAATATTTACAATGAGAAGATCCAAACATGCATAAAGACCATTATCTTTAGCAGGCAAAAGTAAGAGATGTAGAAAGTGTCAAAGAGCTGCTGTAACAACATAGAACTGGTGACATGGAACTAGAAGATACTACTGTACATGAAACCAGAAGAACAAACAATTGATTATATAGTGGAATTGCTTTAAAAACTATGATTTATTTTTTTCTGAAGCTGTTAAAAACTAATTGTAAGGCGTGGCTCATACAAAGGAATAATAATACTGAGTATATCAAGAACAACTAAATATGTTATATATGTCCTTACAAGAACAACAGTGCTACTGATTTCTTAAGAAAGTGATGGAAAAAAAATCTTAAATCTTTGTCTGTCCCAAAAGGGTTTCATTGTTAATCAAGATGGCAGCTCAAAAACTGTGAGGGCACAGTTCAATAGACAGGTCTAATTTGATGTAAGCCATCCTAACCCATTTTTCCAGCAGAAAAAAATAAGCATAGTAGCTCTGAGAGTATGTACAGAATTGTAAGATGAAGGTAATCTGATTCTAAATTGTTTATGTTTTATCATTTTGAAATCTCTGAATAATTTACTAAGTTTTTCATGGTTTCTTGTTCATGAACTAATCAGGTACATACTAATTTATTTTAAGAGTAGAAAAGTATACAGGTTGGGTTCTCTTAAAAGTTAGAAGAAGCACAGGAAAAACTAAAGGAATACACAATAAGATGTTTCAATGAGGGTTCACTAAAATGGCAATAAATTATGAAGTAGAATCTTCTGCAGATAACTATAATAAAATTTTGAGACTTCTCTGGCATCTTAAAGTTGCAGAACTTACAACATCAAAGCATCCTGTTTCCTTGGCTTATCTTTACATAAAATCTTGGACAGGTTTTCATTCTCCTTCTTTGCGTAATCTCACAAATCAAGTACTGGAACAAAAAAATAAATCTGGTCTTCATATTCTGAAGAATGGAGACAAGGTTACAGGAGGCTTGTTTTAAATGAAACACTTTTTAAATTTATTCTTTGCCTCCATGGATCCTGGTAGACAGCACCATAAGACTGATTGTCTGAAATCTACTGCAGGAATGGAGAAGAAGGAAAGAACTGTATTTACATCTTGATATTTACTTTGAAAGATATTTACAAATACTGATAAGTAAATTACATTTGAGATCAAATAGCAATAATTTGGTATTTGACCAATTTTCTTTAGGAAAATAATACTATAGTTTATATTTTGATTTCCCTTTACTATATCATACTTCAATGAAACTCATAAAACTTTTTGATTTCTTCACACTGTGCAAATAACATATCCAAAACAATAAATTTGTGGAAAATTGGACTCAGGTTCTAAATATATGAATGAATGAATATTACATATGTCAAAAATGAAAGCAAATTAATATGATTTACATTTTCTCCACATATAAATTCTTCTAATATGTTATCTACTAAGGGGACCTGTAAAGTGACATTGTTAACTGGCCACTGAATAAGATTGCTGATGTAATACACTGTCTTTCTAGTTCTGTGTAAAATTATTACTGATTTACAACAACAACAAAAAGTGGAATTTTTGCTTGTGAAGTGAACACAATCAGCTTTTCTCCCAATTCACAAAGTCAGTCATGTTTCGTCAGTCCAACTATAGCTATGTAAGATAATGCAAAGTATTCTGGGAGTTTACAAACCTTCCAGCAGAATTACACAAAATAAATTAGCTGGCATGACTATAATATGCAGGAGCTGAGACAGACACTTATAGCAGCTAATAACAATTTGGATTCCTTCATTTTGATCCTCTGAATTTCTACCGAATTGCCTTATGTTAAATATTAGATCATAAAGAATGTTTACGTTTTTTTTACAATCATATAGTTTTACATATGTGATGCTTTTGGAGAAAAAGAAATTAATGATCAAAATGTGAAAATGGATAAAATAAAACACTTTATATTTTAAGTAGGTTTGTTTTTATTTACCTCCTCCCCATCTCAGACATCTGGCTAAGTCATTCCCAGTTCCAAGAGGGAGAATAGCAACAGGAGGATGCTTAATCAAATTTGCTTTCTCTGTAAATAAAAAATGTAGGCATAGTTTAAGACAAATAGCAGCTGAGACAGAACCTAGATATAAAAATTTACTATATTAATATTATGGTTAGATATTGTTTTAATAAAAAATGGTTTCCTTAAAATCCATCTACACATATCAATTGAGAAGGAATATGCCAGTAGCCTAAAGAGGAAATTACTCTCTCCCAAAAACTAATTTTCCACATTTAGGATACAGTAGATTATGAAACTAATTATCATGACCGAAAATCAATAGGGGGAAAAATCAGTGATTATGGTAACTGATAACTCACCAAGATAAATGCACCCTAGCAATATATTGCATCCTGGATTGAGAACTGTAGATAATTTACAAGACAGTGTATGATAAATTATCAGTGTTTCCACTATCTATAAACCAAAGGGTAAAAGATATCAGTGAAATTATACAAAAATTAAGAAGTAGTAGAAAACTAGATGAACAGCAGCATTTAGTGCACAGCTTTGAGCTGGTCCTATTTTATAAGGCACAGTTCTTCTGCCACTGACAGTTAATGACCATACAAACCATGCTGGGCATTGATTGGCTACATAATACAGGCATTTGCTAAGAGCAAAAGATGATTTGTTTGCCATATCAGTAGCATTTCAGATTTCTTAAAGTTATTCTTCTCCCTCCCCAGTTCAGCTCTAAATTGTCTTCCTTTCCTGAAAAATATGTAGTTTACTGGGGGTTTTTTTTGGGGGGGGGGGGAAGCAAGTTCATGGTCTTGTCGTCAGCCACTGATTGAATCATCACCTTGATGTCAGAAGTTCAGTTCTTCCTCCCTCCCTACCTTTCCTCATTCAGGTGGATAACAAAAAGTATATGAAGTAGAATGAATTCTACTTTATAGAAGCAGGAAGAAATGTATAATTCATTATTACTGTGAATCAGAATGGCTGTAGCAATGTGTAGCTAATGCCCATGCCCTATACTATATTAGCAAGGTATATCTAAAATTCCCACACAAATCCTGTCTCTGTGACTGGCACTGCTAACAATAGAATGAAACAAGATTTGGTGGTTCCTGATGCAATAGAGTACTCACTACAAGTTGTTATAGAGGTCATGAGACTATCTAGGTCTCATTTGACAAGGAACTGAAGAAAAAGAGGATAGGTCTAAATGGAAATACTGTACAGGAAAACAGAAACAGATAAATCAAGAGCTGTTGCAGGTAAAAGACAATAAATGCCTCAGTTCAAGGAAGGGAAGAGGTGTGAGAAACAGACTCAAGATTTTACCATCCCATTTTTTGAGACTGTATGGCATAAGAGAGAGTGATAGAAAATCTTGACAGAATATTTTAAGATTCTTAAAAAATCCTAAAATTCTGGAATTATATTCTACAACAATGAGGTTGAGTTTCAGTAGCCTTTGCAATATCTGTTTCCTGACTTGGGCTACCTCATAGGATTGACAACTTTCTCTGTTGGCAGGTATGTGAAAAAGGTCACTGTAATAGATGGCCCAGATCTCAAGTGAGATTGAATTATAAAGGGTGGAACTAAATCTAGCGCTTTTATGGCAATAGATGATGCCTAAACAGACTGATGAAACTCAGATGAAACTCAAATACTTTGGCGACCTAATGTGAAGGAAGGACTCAATGGAGAAGAGCCTAATGCTGGGAAAGATTGAGGGCAAAAGAAGAAGGGGACGACAGAGAATAAGGTGGTTGGATGAAGTCACTGAAGCAGTTGGCATGAGCTTAAATGGACTTCAGAGGATGGTAGAGGACAGGAAGGCCTGGAAGAATTTGTCCATGGGGTTGCGATAGGTAGGACACAACTGTGCAACTAACAGCAACAAATATTGTGAACACTGCTTGTTTAGTATTGAAAAATGTTAGCAGTATGACACAACTTTGCAACTAACAACAAAAACAAAATAGGCTACGATTTTTCTTCAGAAATGCTTGCGCAGCCTTTTTCAGTTAGCTCCAATTTTCCTTCTCAGGGGAAATTTATTTCTTTTTCAATCAAATTTGATTTTTCAGAAATATTGGTGATTACTGTGTCTCACGATTTCTGTAGATAGAAACTACCTATATTCTGCATTTTTAAAACATTATTTACCAAACCAGGGCTTATCATAACCATTTCTAATTGAAAGAATTGTTCATCTTTCTTAATACTACTGATATATATATATAGGCACTTCAATTTAAAAATACAATTAAAAGGTGAACAGCACAAGGATTTAGTAAGGCTCCTAGTCCAACTAATTAAAAAATTGAATTGAATTTGCATTTTGCATCAGCTGACCATGACAGATCTCCTGGTTTTTCATCTTGAGGCAGATAGTGAAAGTTTATCAAACTTTGATGGAGATATATAATTTTATAAAATATTATAATTTTATTGTTGGAATGGATTCTGTCACTGTCATACAATCTTTATTGGAAGATGAGAAATAAATAAATAAATAGTCATTCAATCAATCAAGATCATACACACAAACACACACATACACACAAACACACATACACACACCTCTTATTATTCATAGTACCCCTGAAAATCAAACAAATCCTTAGTTTATGCTTTGGATGCAGCAGAAACCTCTGCTGCTGCTGCTGCCACCAAATATCCTTCAGATTCTCCCATCATTGATTGTGGGCAGATCCTTTGGTCCAAAAATCTTATCAAACTTCCATTCATGGATTCATTTGTTATATAAATTATAACTGCAGATCTGGACAATTTTCATACGGTCTCAAACATTTCCTTTTTAGAGAAGGTTGTTGGCTTCCAACTCTAGACGACCATGGAATAAGTGGATTACCTGGATCCTTTTCAGTCAGGATTCCTGCCCCCACTTGATCTCTCAGTAGCTTTAATACCATCAATCACAGCATCTTTCTGACCTGTCTTTGGGGATTGGAGTGAGAGACACTGTGTTGCAATGGTTCTCCTCCCTTTTTCAAGGCCAGTTCCAGTTAGTGTTGGGTGGGGGAGAAGTTGAGAAGTGATTAGATAGTAATTTATCTGGAATTATATAGGGTCCCTTGCTTGAGCAGGGGGTTGAACTAGAAGACATCCAAGGTCCCTTACAACTCTGTTATTGTATGTCCTATGTTTAGATATATCTTCAATATTGAGGTATAAGGTCATTAGGTAAGATATTATCATTAGATGAACTGTATCCTATATTATTGACAAAAATCCAGTGTATTAAAAAGAATCACAATAACATTAGACATATCAACAATATATGAAAGTATTTCAACAACTAAAAATATCTGTTTCATTATTTCCCCAAACTCTCATAACCAACTTCCTTTCTGTAAACTCCCTTCTTTTAATTACTCCAGTATGAAGTAAAGAAAATTTGGCATCTTCTGATGAATTTAGAATTATTTATACAAAAAGAGCAAATTTCAGACAATACTTAGTTACATAGTTTTATGTAAAACAAAAATGCATGTTACCTATGCAGTCTAAAATCCAACCTACGGTTCCATCACCACCACATGCCAATACTCTAAAATCAGAAACATCTCGAAAAAAATTTAATCTGAAAAAGTAAAAAAAAATGAAATTATATCTCAGAAGTTTGCTTTATTAACACATTGAACAGAATATTTACACTGCAGTTACCCTTGCTCACTTTGAAAAAAAAACAGTTAAATTTGGCTTGCAACAGGACAGCATGTACTTCATAGCAATTATAATTTTCAAATACAATGGTATATGTTATATGGGCATGTTATATAAGTCTTAAGATGATAATAAGGATATAATAAAATTAGTTTCATTATAGCATGAAGTTTATTATGGTAAACAATAAAATATTCAACTCCTGGGAAACTATATTTTAAAGAATAACGATTAACTGGTATGTAGATGCCAACCAGTTGTAAAGATCATCATTTTTCAGATGGGGATCTTTGCAACCACCAAACTAACTGTAACAGTTTTTAAACACAAGTTAGAACCAAATTAAATATGCACTATATAGTAGACATAATGCATTTAGACATAATGCATATAGTAGGCATAATGCATATAGTAGGCATATTTTGCATTTTCCATTGCAAAATAATTCTCTAATGTAATGAGGATGTCTGCTTTTAAAACAATATCTTAGTTAATAATTCTTAATTTAAATTATATCAATAGTTTACGAGTTATATAAAAATGTATATGAATGTTGCACCACAGAAGCAATTAAATATACTAGAGCTATGATGAAGTGAATATTTCTATATGAGAATACCATACTTTCATAAAATAAATGACAAACAGAGCACATTAACCTGTGAAAGGAAAAATGGAAGTAGCACATTATAGGCTGTGATTTTTATTTTTGGTAAATTTTCTGGACTGTTCGAAACTAAAGTATATTTGTAATAGACGAGTAATAAACTTTTGCAGTTTATAATCCCAGTTAATGACAAACAGATTTAGGCATAATATGTAACTACTTTTTCAAAAAAGACATGAAAACACTAGGTATGAAAGCAAAGTAGGTAATCACTTCCAGAGCCATTATGCTCACAGTTCATTGAAGTATTGCTGCAGACATAAAATCGAAAACATCCTTCAATAGTAGTCAAAAGCATAAAATTCGGGGGGGGGGGATATCTATTCTATAAAGAAGACAGAAACACTATTGGAAGATCCACTGGCCAATGGGAAAATTTTAATAATATGCTTTATAATAAATATTTAAATCAGATATTAGTGTTCTTTATTTATCTAAAAGAAGCTCACTTCTAGTTCATAAAATGGTAAGCAACTATCTTTTGAAGAAGCAATTCTGCTCATTCCAGCATGGGAAACTGAATACTTATAAACCTTTGAGATACTTCTGCCCAACTTGCTTTCTTCTAGAAGTGCTGGATCTCGGTAAGGATTTTGCTAGGGACTGATAAAAGTCCAAGTACAATATAATTAAAAGAAAGAAGCTATGCAGGATCATGCAATTCCAATTTATTCTTCCTTTTCACAAATATCTACCTAAGGATAATGCTTATGGTTATAGTTACCATTATAGTCAGATTATAGACTGCTTTGGTTACTAAAGAATTTAAAGTGACAACGTAAGTATTTTACCAGGCAATCTTGTATTGTGAGAGGCATCAGGTCAGAAGTCCTAATTTCAGGCAAAAGATTATATTAGATATCTCAGGATATTTTTGCGATCAATATAAAAACTAGATTGAATTACCTGCTACAATGTCTATTACTCTTTTTAAGATGGCCAGTTTCTGGGAATGCTTTTTCCTGATAGATATGGGCATTTCAGTGACCAACATTCCTAGGATGACCCTGGATTCATTCATCTATTCAGGAATAGCAATCTACCCAGATTGCAGA